TTTGGACTCACCAAGATAGGAGAGATCAGGAGTATTTTCTCTGTATTTTTCAGTTGTTAAAAGACGAGACATTGTTGATGCATCCATTGCTTGTATATATTGTTTATAATTATTGTGCTTATTATATATAATTTTTCTTATATTAGTTATAAACATTTTTATTTTTAGACAAGAAAGGGAAAATGTGGTGATACCTTGTTTATACTATGAGAAATAAAGTCTGCCTGAAGATCAGAGGGTGGAGCTAGCCATTAGTTAAACGTGGTAGTCTAGAGGTCTTTACAGAGAGACAGGAAGTGATATGGCTAGGTAGAGAGAGGAATGTAAGGCAGGAGAATACAGGAGCTCGCTCTCTTTTCAGTCTGAGGATTTGGTAGAGGTAAGAGGTCTACTGACTTACTGCTTCTCTGATCTTTCAGCTCTCACCCCCTAATATCTGACTTTGGACTTTTATTATTGGCACCCATTGGAACTAGTGTTACAAGGCTTTATACAGAAAAATAAATACATCTTTTAAAAAATATATGCATTTAAAAATTTGTGACAAAGTTGTATGTAAACTCAAGTAGGTTCTTCGTAAGCATTGCTAACAGATTTTGGAATGAATATGCAGGAATAACAAAAAAGCCTTTTAAACAAGAAAAACAAGGGGCTGGAGAGATGGCTCAGAGGTTAAGAGCACTGACTGCTCTTCCAGAGGTCCAGATCTCATAGTGGATGGTGGCTCAGAACCATCCGTTATGAGATCTGGTTCCCTCTTCTGGTGTGCAGATAAATATGGAAGCAGAATGTTGTATACATAATAAATAAATAAATAAATAAATCTTTTTTTAAAAAAAAGAAGAAAAACAGTCGAACACACTGAACACAAAAGCTGAACATGTCATTCTAGTAGATGCTTCAAAGACAAAAATCCTGAAAGAAATGTCTAGACGGGAGACTGTCAGAAACTAGGCCATTTCTGTGCTATTATACTCAAGAACATAACTTCATTCTGCCCTACATCAGAGAACTTGAAATGAACTTAAATGTAAAGGTTTTGAAGTCTTGTAGTAGAGGAAATGAATGTGAGCAAGCTGATGTTTTAAACAAAGGAGCAGGTGGAATCGATAGGAAGCTTAGTACATGCACTGTGGCAGTGGTGAGGCAAACAACATGGGGAAACTGAGCAACCAGGACACTACTTGATGTGGGCTCTGCACACGGTCCTCTCTGCGCTGAACCTAGCAACGTGTGGGTATCACTCTTGGAATAATTTTACTGGGCTGTTTCTATATGTGCTTTAAAAATAACAAGTTAGTTCTTTTAGTAACTCTTCACTATGTTCATAACCTTTTGGAAAACATGCATAAAATAAACTCTAAAATTCCCAAAACACTTTAGATCATGTCAGTCAAAAGTCTGGGCAGAATGGGATTGGTCCTTAAGAAGGCCACCCCTAGTTTTTTTGTTTGTTTGTTTTAACATTTATTTATTATGTATACAGTGTTCTGCCTGCTTGTTTTAACATTTATTTATTATGTATACAGTGTTCTGCCTGCTTAGATGCCGCAGGCCAGAAGAGGGCACCAGATCTCATTATAGATGGTTGTGAGCCACCATATGGTTGCTGGGAATTGAACTCAGGACCTTTGGAAGAACAGCCAGTGCTCTTATTCTCTGAGCCATCTCTCCAGGCCAAGGCCACCCCTAGTTAAGAAGGCATTGGCAACTGAAGGTTTTGGAATATACACACTTATTATTTTCAGGAATGTGGCCACTACCATATTGCCCATACATACCCTATGCATAACCACTCACATTTGTATAGAACTAACTGAACTCAGTGGTTTAAAAAAAAAAAAAAAAAAAGCACAGGGCTGTAGATGGCTCAGCAGGTAAGAACATGAACTGCTCTTCCAGAGGACATGGTGTCAATCTTCAACACCCACATGGCAGCTCACAACCGTCTGTTTCTCCAGTTCTGTGGGGCCTGGCATCCTCACAAAGACATAAACCTAGGCAAAGCACAAATGCACATGAATAAAATAAATTATTAAAAAAAAAAAAACACTTAAAGCTGGGCATTGGTGGCGCACACCTTTAATCCCGGCACTTGGGAGCCAGAGGGAGCCGGATCTCTGTGAGTTTGAGACCAGCCTGGTCTACAAGAGCTAGTTCCAGGACAGCCTCCAAAGCCACAGAGAAACCCTGTTTCAACCCCCCGCCAAAAAAAACCCCAAAAATCTACTTAAAGTTAGGAAATGGGTGTGCTGAGGATGTAAGGATTACATATTAGATATAAAATATATCACTTACATGGAGAAAAAATTCCAAGTAAACATACTTAAAAGTTTTTGTGGTTTTTCTTAACAAAGCAATAAGACAGATGTCCATAGGGCTAGGGCACAGGTAAGCAGGTGAGAAGCTTGCCATGCAAGCCTGAAGACCTCTAACCCTAACAAGGATGAGTGGAAAAGTGAATACTCATGGATTAACTGCTTCAATTAGCAAGAAAAACAGTGTGAGGTTGAGTCAAAAGCAAAACATCATGCCATATATAATAAAAATAGTCCATATACGTCCACAGTACATGAACACCCATGTTCTTTGCTGCTCTAGTTCCAATAGCTACAAAGAGAATCAGCATGGATGTCCATCAGCCGATGTCCACATGACAGAAATGTGGCACATGAACACACTGGAACTTTCCTCTAAAATGAACAATACTGAAATGAAATTTGCAAGCAACTTGACACACCTGGTAATGCAATTCGACTGAGTCAGGTGTCTGTAGCAAATAACATCAAATGCAATCTGGTTTTGTTAATATGTATTCTACCTTTACCCTTTCCCTGTATGACTCACAACTGGACTGAGTGTCATAGAGAGCATGAAGAAAGGTTCTGTGAGCTCTGTGGGTCGGTGGGGGTGGCACAGCCACAGCAGTGGGCGTGGGATGCGCTAGTGCATTGGTGGACACAGTGGGACTGAAAAGTTATCACAGGTGTGGGGAGAGAGGAGGGGCATTGGAGAAGCAGGTTTCAGGACTCTCCTCAGCCAGACTATGATATGCAGACTGCTGGCACACAATGAACAAAGGTCACTGTCCAAAAACAAACAAACAAGCTGGGCGTTGGTGGCTCTCGCCTTTAATCCCAGCACTCCGGAGGCAGAGGCAGGCAGATCTCTGTAAGTACGAGACCAGCCTGGTCTCCAGAGTGAGTGCTAGGATAGGCTCCAAAGCTACACAGAGAAACCCTGTCTCGAAAAACCAACCAAACAAATAAACAAACAACCCCCCCCCAAAAAAAAATCCCAAACCACCACTACAACAAAACAGGAATGGTGATACATACCTTGAATCCCAGGATGAGTGATGTAGACCAGAGAGAGTATCCTCTGAGTCCAAGGCTAGGTTTGTCCACAAGTGAGTCTAGGGTAATAAACCTATTTTGACACTCAAGTCAACACTCAAATAACACATTTTCTCCAGCAGGTGGAAAACACACTTTTCTTTTTCTCATATGAACTTTGTGAATCTTTCACCATGAGCAGGAACCCCACTAGTGAAAAAAAAAAAAAAAACAAAAAAAAAAACACTGCCCTGACCCTCGGGGCTGCAGTCACCAAAGAACTTGGAAAGATAGAGTCAGGCAGTAACAAAGAACCAGACAGCAAGACAGGTTTCTGATCAAGCTGCAATTTTTTATTTTTCACAGGGACCTTATGTAGGGGTACCAAGTGGGGGAGTTTGGCAGGCAGCGAGAGGTCATTTGAGGCCATTTGCCTGATAACCATACTGAAGAATGTCCCTGTGAGTGAGTCCTTGAAGGCAAGGGGAAAGTGCAGGATGCTACCAAGGTCGGACAGTACAGATGTTAGTCAGAGGACAAAAAGGCTCGTTAGAATGTACGTGGGTGGGGGTGGGGGTGGGCGTGGGAAGGGTTGCTAGGAAACTTGACCATGAAATGTATCTTTCTTTCTATAAGCTACTTCTGTGGGCCCAAATGTATCAGGAGGGAAGGACTGAAGGCAGCTATTCTTTTAACATAATGGGTTATTCTTAAAATGCTGGCAGTCTTCTGCCCAAGTCTCTTACAAGGTTACTTTTGCCTTGGCTCCCAACATCTCCCCCTTTCATATTTTATTCAAAGGAGAAGGTGGCAGGGGCTCGAGCCTCCTGTGGAAAAGTGGTAGGTGTTGCATCAAGAAGGTCTCTTGCCAAGCTAGGTTGGGTCAAGCGATCCTCGACCTCCCAGGATGTCTTTTTGGGAAGGGAGTTGTTACTGACATCAACCTCCATATGAATGAGCATGCCTTTGAGGGATCCAGGCTAGTTTACCTTTTATTTATTATAAGCATCCCTCTGCTGTCTGTAAAGCAGTCATTCTCCTGAGATAAGCCTGGTGGCAGACATGCCTGGAAAATGTCAGCGCCAAGAGGGGACCTGTTGAAAGGTTCCCCTAAGGCTGGGTGGAGATGAGGGGTGAAGAGTGGAATTGTGGCCGCCATCTGAGTCTGAGTCGCCCATGGCTAAGGGATGATAATGGACCTGAATGGGCTTAGCAATGAGAGAATCTGTCTGTTGTTTAATGAAGCCAGTTAAGCAATTAAATGCCCAAGGGCCAAAAGAAATTAACAACAAAAGTCCTATAAAAGGGCCTAAAATTGCCAGGTGTTGGTGGCCCACACCTTTAATCCCAGCACTTGGGAGGCAGAGGCAGGCGGATCCCTGTGTTTTTGAGGCCAGCCTGGTCTCTAGGGCGAGTGCCAGGATAGGCTCCAAAGCTACACAGAGAAACCCTGTCTGGAAAAACCAAAAAAAAAAAAAAAAAAAAGGGGGGGGGCGGGGGGGGGGGGGGGGGTGGGGGGGTGGCTAAAATGGAGGGCAGGAGAGTTGTCACCCAGGGAGAAGTAGAGAGCCAGTCTTCGTACTGGCTTTTGTTTTTGGCCCTCTCTAGTTTTCTCCTTTCTAACCTCTTTCATTGTGTCTTTTACTAATCCTGTCTTATCTACATAGAAGCAACATTTTTCCTTCAGGGCATCACAGAGACCACCTTGTTGAAGGAGAAGTAGATCTAATCCCCTGCGGTTCTGAAGGACTACCTCACTAAGGACCACAGGGAGTCTGCAAGGTCAGTTATTCCTGTCTGTAGTTTCTGGACATCCCGGTCAATAGTGGTGCTGAGTTCATCATAGCATTTGGAGGATAGAGCAAGGGATGATATGCCTGTTCTTGCTCCAGCAGCCCTTAGTCCAAGCAAGACAGCCACGGTTAGTGCAGAGATGGGTTCCCTGCGAGTGCGGAGGGGGGCAGAGGTGGGAGTTAGGAGAGAGAAAAATTCCTCTGAGGGGTAGTTGGAGAGTCGTGGCACCAGCTGGACAAGAGTACACATCTCACCCTGTTGGAACAAAGGGTTATAAAAATGCAGGGGGTGAGGCCATAGGAACAGACTCACCAGGTTTTGCTAGGAGGAATTAAGTAGAGTTTATGGGAAGCATCGGTGTTATATAATAATTATGGTGTTATTGCAGTAGGGAGGGAGAGTACCCTTTAGAGAGTCTCTTTTACTGTCTGGAATGAGGCAGAGACCAGTCCCAGTGATTTGAGAAAGTGTTAAGCCTTCAGAGTGAGATTTTTCCCACCTACAATCATTGGGGTTATTGGAAGTAAGAAAGTTGCCTAGGGTGGCGACTCCCTCATAGAAGAGTGGGGAAGCAGAGGCACATAACCAACAGTCTTGGGTAAGCGCAGGATTGGAGGCGTTTAGGATAAGAAAAGTTTGATTAACTAGAGAGAGGATGGTCTCTCCTGAACCGGGCGCCTCCACTACTGTTGGGGGAGGAACAACTGGGGGAGCTGGTGAAGAAGAAGGCTGGCGATTAGCGATGGGTGGGGACGGATCCCACTTAAAGCTGAGTTGGGACCGATGGCCATGGGTTTCTTGAGTAATGTGATGGAAAAGATTATGCCTTCATCAATGTGCTCCTTCTGGAGCCAGTAAAGGTTATTTTTAGGGGGTGGCACCAATCATTCCGGCATGAAGGAATATCAAGCCATTTGGGGAAGGGTCCATGGGAATAATTAGCCGTCACTGTAATAAAGTCCCATTAGGAGGAAGGCCTCCAGCATGTATCTCCAATGGTTTCACACCCCCAGGACCTACAGTAGAAGTCAGGAGCGCTTCCACATTTGTATAAAACCTTCCTAGGGCGGTGGGAATTACTCTGGCAGACATAAAAAGGGAGGGAGTTGAGCATACTTCTCCTGTCATGGGTGGAGCATCCTCTCCATGGGTCAAGGCCCCACCTATCCGGGGTGAAGGTGTGTGTGGGGCCTTCATAGAGGGGTCTAAATATTCCTCTAGATCCCAGGGATCCCCAGCGCCAAGGGCGAGCTTGCATAGGTCGGGGTACAAGGTTGGCCACCAGACAGAAAGTGTTATTCGTGAGGTGGCATAGACAACAATCCCCTGTGAATTAAGGACCATACAAGGCATATGATTTGAGTGGGGGTTGACGGCAGGCCAGACATCCATGGAATCCGTGGAGGAACAAGGAATAAGCAGCAGGAGTGACAGGACACGCCGGCGCCCTCCGGGCTCCCTGGGTGCGGCTGCGATGCCCGCTGCAGTTGAGGAGGTCCAGGGGAAGGAACCGGCTCGGGTCCTCAGTCGCCGCCGCCGCCAGAGCCACAGGGGGATTTTAAGTGTGGCAGCATCTAAAATGGAAGGAGAGTTTATCTCGGGGGAAGGGGGAACCCTCACTCCTGGATTAGATTACATTAGTTTGTCGGATGAGCCTCTCTGGGAACCATCTCGGGCCTGATCCTGTGTGTACAGGCTGAACCTCGCCCCCAAATTAGTACAGGATCAGGCCCCTTCCATCTCGCTGTCAGAGGGTCTCGCCACTTCACCAAGGCCTGTTGTTTTTTGGTCTCCCGATGCCAAAGGTGGTCTGTAGCTGATTTCCCGTTGCCATCTAGGGCTAGGAAATTGAATGTGAAGAGGGCGTGGTGGAGAATATTTCGTGGGGGTGCCGAGAGAGTCATAAAAAGGTCCCTTTTTTATTTTATGAATCATAGACTTGAGTGATGTGCACTTTCGACAATTCCCTGGCCCTGTGGGTTATAGGGAATGCTGGTAATATGTTTGATGTTAAGACGCTGGCAAAAGGACTGAAAGTTTTTACCTGTATATCCCCGACCATTGTCTGTCATTATTTTTGGAGGCCCCATGACAGACACAGAGGCATTGGAGAGCATGGGCAATAACAATTTTTGAGGCCTCACAGGTATGAAGAGAGGCAAAGATGAAACCACCGAAAGTATCAATGGATATATATATATATAATGTATACAGTCTTCTGCCTGCATGCCAGCAGAGGGCACCAGATCTCATCCAAGGTGGTTGTGAGCCATCATGTGGTTGCCAGGAATTGAACTCGGGACCTCTGGAAGAACAGTCAGTGCTCTTAACCCCTGAGCCATCTCTCCAGCCCCCGACATGTATATATTTAAGGCTGCCAAATTCATTAAAATGAGTTACATCCATCTGCCAAATTTCACAGAATCATCCAGATTCCCTTTTGCCCCTAAATCAACGAGGCTGATTGAATACTCTTTTTTTTAATTATATGTAAGGCAATTTAGGTGACTTTTTAATTATATCCGAAGCAATTTAAGTTGTAAATCATATCCAAGGCAATTTAAGCAGTTTCTTTTGTCAGCATTCATAATCACATACCATGCATTCAGATGTGGGCACACCTGACACACAGAACATACACACATTTTTCATCATTCCGTTTGCCTAGGTTATGACCAGTCTGTTGGAATGAAAATTCCCTAAATGAAATCTCTTGTAACATAGCAGTTATAGCCAATTCTTGAATTATGAGCATCCAAAATTTGAACAAATCCAAATTTTTCTATGTTGTCTTTTTTCCATAAGGTCTTAAAACAGTTTTCTGATTGACTGCATTAATAGTAATTTCTATATATTTGATCTGGCGTCAGTGAGACAGAGAAGGGAGCAGCTCCCAAAGGCTGCTAGTGTTTTTGGTTTCGGCCCTGGCCTCCCTTGCCTTTTGCCCTCTGGGCTTGGGCTGACCTGCTGTAAATGATCTGTGGCTGCCTGCTGTGGCTGTAAATTTTCTTATCTCCTGTGAGAGCAATTTGGCTAAATCCTTAAAGTCTCCTGGCCCTTGCTGAACGCCATCACTAGCTCATTGCCTGTCTGCATTCCCAGTTAAAAATGAGTGGGGTGCAAGCCGGGCATTGGTGGCACAAGCCTTTAATCCCAGCACTCGGGATGCAGAGGCAGGAGGATCTCTGTGACTTCGAGGCCAGCCTGGTCTCCAGAGCTAGTGCCAGGATAGGCTCCAAAGCTACACAGAGAAACTCTGTCTTGAAAAACCAAAATAAAAATAAAAATGAGGGGGTGCATAATTTAATTTGTGGGGTAGCATCTGTTGATGGTGCAGTTTGTACCCTAGATACATATAAGGTTTAGCAGCTTGAATGTTATCAGGTGTTATTTGGAGCCCTTTTTGAGTTAGGCTGGAAGTTAAATCTTGCAAGCACAGGGAAAGCTGCTCCTGCTGGGCAGCAGCTAAAGAATGTAAACAGAAGGCCACTTTTTTAAAAATAGGATCAACTGGGAGAGCAAGAAATTTTTGGCATAAGGTGGGGCTGTTGGCCATGCCTGAGGCAAAACCTTCCATTGGTAGCGAGGCGTAGGGCCCTGGAAATTAACCTGGGGAATACTAAAGGCAAAGTGAGGCTTGTCCTCAGGGTGTAGGGTAATGGGGGGGGGCAGTCTTTAAGATCTTGGGGCCCAGGGCTGGTCTCGTTGGAAGTTTCCCAGCTGCCGTGGGGGTAAGGGTTGGCCCCGAGCATTAGAGCATTAGATCTGCACTCATTAGCCCAACGTCTGCCTCTAGGCAACTCAGGCATACAATAGAGGGAAGAGGCCACCCATAGCTGTAAATGTGGGAGTTCGGGGAGTAGGGCATTCTCTAGAGAAATAACCAGGTTGTTTGCAATTAAAGCAAGTTTTTGCTTGTTGATTAAGCCCCGTGCTGTTAAAGGCCAAATGTTTAATGAAAGGACAGGTTTTAGAAGACGCTTTCTTTCTGTTGTGGTGAGCAAAGTCCCTGAAATTCTCCATAAACTCAATTTTACACAAGACAAAATCTCCTGAGAGAGAAGCACATGCTAGCCGGTGCTGGTAATTAGGGAGTAACCATTTATCACTATAACTCTCTTGGAGGGTAAGGGTGGATGGGGCAGTGTGTACATAGTTAGAAGGACAAGGTGAATAGGAAGCCCGCTCCTGATGAGGGGTGGGGATTTTCCTTTAGGGTGTTTTCTCCTTCCTTGATCAGATTTTGAACATCAGGGTGGTAATTATAGGCCCTAAGGATGTCATTAATGAGATTCCAACACGGGGACCTTCTCTGGCCCAAAAGTCTCATAATAATCTTTTAAGCAGTCACCTACTCTCTTCCACCTATTTACATCAATGGTTCCCTCTTGGGGAAACCAAGGGCAGAGATTCCCTATGTAATCTAAAAATTTCTTTAAATCTTTTTTCTTAACCCTGTTTCCTCCTGTTCTGAGAGCCTCCTTGAGGCCGATAGTAAACAAATCGTGTTTACTGAATGCCTGACCCGTAATGTACCTTTGCATCGCCTCAATCTGTAAACTCCGGATCTGTCTCACGGGCGGGTGACTCCATGGCAATCCAAGCATCCCGTTTGCCTTACCTCCTCCACCCAGGCGAGGCTGCGGTGGCTTAGTAAAAAGGTCAAGGATTCCTTTCAGAGAAGACGTTCCTAGGTCCTAAGAGGGTGGAACCGCACGTTGTGGCCCCAGAAATGCCCCAACCCGCAGGGCACCACTCGAGCTCACACCCCGATGTGCTCCAGCCACTAAAGAACCTGTAAAGATAGAGTCGGGCAGGAACAAAGAACCAGACAGCAAGATAGGTTTCTGATCAAGCTGCAATTTTTTATTTTTCACAGGGACTTTATATAGGGGTGCCAGGTGGGGGAGCTTGGCAGGCAGGGAGAGGTCATTTGAGGCCATTTGCCTGATAACCATACTGAAGAATGTCCCTGTGAGTGAGTCCTT